GCCGGGGAGACAGTGGGCACAACCACCATCCTTTGTGCCACGGCTGCCAGCAGCGGCCAAGGGCTGCAAGGCCCCTCTAGCACCCCGGGCTCCTTCCTGGTGCACATTAGAAACCCACTGGGTTTCCTGGGTGACGCAGGCCCTTGTGCACCCATGGGTGCAAGCACAGGTGCATCAGCCAGACCCAACCTAACCCTACCCGGGGCCATACAGAGGCACACGCAGACCCGGAGGGTGCAGGTGCCCAAACACTACCCCTCTCCCTTTCCCTCTCCCCAGGGCAGCTCCGGCGAGGATCTCCGGACAACCCTTCAGCCCTGGGGCAGGCTGGAAGACTTGTGATTTTGTTGTTTCCAATGTCAAGGGGAGCAAACAACAAATCCCAGTCTCCAGCCTGCCCCCGGCACAGGCTCCATGCCCCAGGGCACTGCCAGCTCCAGCACAGCCGACCCCGCAAGCCGGGAATGCTGCACCCACGTGCAAACGCCGGTGGAACGTGGCCAGGACCAGGCGGGCAGCTGCAGGGAACAAGGTATTAACTTGCCGGAGAAATTAAAAATAAACCAAGTCAAAGCAACGTGAATACGGACCTGAATGTAACATGGTCACATCCTGCTGGCAGGCAGACACACACACACACACATGTATTTTTTCCAAGTTATCCCACTCCGTGATCTCCTAACCCTGGGAGATTTCCCTGCTGACCCCCTCTTGCAGCACGTTCAGAAGTTATTAACTTTAGCAGAGTCAATTTGAACTTGCCCCCATAATCAGGGCTGTGGCCACAGGAAACAGCCCGTGCCGTGGCCAGGGACCTTAGCAACAAAAAATGGTTTCTTGAAAGAAATTTAAATTTCATTTCCTGCAATATCTCCCTTCTCCACATTTAAGAAGCTTGATTTCAAAGTTGAAAGTGTTACAGTTACTGGGGAGAAAAGGCTGTGGTTCTCATCCAGGGAGGCGGGGAGGAAGAAAGTGAAAATAAGTCCTTGACAGCAAAAATCTCTCCAAATCAATCAGCCAGCTTTGCCACTACCTGCTGAGGAAATTGCTCCATCCATTATATTTTTAAGGAATTAATTCTATTTATCAGAGAGAAATGAGAGGGAACAGTCAGCAAGGAACACCTTTGGGCAATTCCTCAGGGAAGGAGACACACAACAGCCAGAAAGTGCAATTGTTCCTTTGAAAGAGGGCTTCTGAACAGCACATTACTGAGGATTAGGGAAAGCTCTCTGGAGGGGATTAAGGTTTCACTAAAAAGCTCCATTCTCACCCGTCTTTAAAGCCGCCCTCTTTCCTCCCAAGCCTGGGCTGACCAAAGGTGAGACCCAGATCCCCTTCGGGATATCCAGGGCTGGAACGGCTGCATCCATCACACCTCCAGGCTTGTCTGACCACGACCCTGCCATGTCCCACCCGCAGGCCCCCTCCTCCTGCCAGCGATGCTGGGGAAGCCGCAAGCCCCTTCCTGCCAGCTTTTCTCCCCCATTTTGAGATGGGGGCAATGCTGCTTCTCCCACTACCCTGCCCAGAGCCGAGGCCAGAGGCTCCTCAGGCAGCCGCAGGGCAGAGCTCTGCACTGTCGCAGTGCGTGGGCACGGTGGGTCGTGATGCTTTTCTGCTCCCCAGGGGATGAGGAGGACCAGAGCACCAGTTGTAGCAGCTACAGGGAAGAGCCTGCAAAGCCCGCTGAAAGAGACAATGCTCAGCACAACCTTGGGCGAAAATAACCCCTGTAAGGGCTGAGGGCTTGGTAAACGCTGCACCAGCGCAGAGCAATTCCCCGAGCTCGTCCCCTTCCCCGCAGGGGAAAGCAGCTGCTCCCCTCTGCAAAGCCAGAGCCACACATCCATTCGGCTGCTCCACACAAGTACGGCAAAGCCCCTCCGGAGCAGCAAGGAGGAGAGCGTGGAGGGTGGCAGCTTTGCCAAATTGCCTGGGGGAAGCTGGAGAGCTGGTAGATGAACATCAGATGCAAACTGAGGCTGCAAGCCGAGATAGCAGGCTGCCCTGTTATCTTTATTTTAGCACCTTGGCTGGTGGGCTGGCAGCAGGTGACATGAGAGCGGATGCTGCGACGTGGAGAGACAGGAGAAATATGCTTTCCTGCTTAAACGAGCAGAGAGACACTGAGGACTGAATGGCCTGTGAAGACTGGGCGTTGTTCCCTCCTCGCTTCTCCCCCAGACAGATGACAATCATTATCCTCCTTCTATGGGAAGCATTTGGAGAACGGCTTCCACGCACTTGCCACGGTCCAGAGCCCTCTCTGGAAAAGCAGGACCTCAGCTTAAGAAAAAATATCCTAGCAAGAACTTCTACAAGAAGCACATTAATTCTCCTCAGTAATTCACAGCAGTCTGCCTACGCTGCCAGCAGAATCCCTCCACCATGCAGGTATTTCCAGCCAGCTTTGCTCGCAGGCACCGAGCAGCTAGCCTCCACGCGGCTCAGCTCCAGCCTCACCTCAGCGATGCTGAAGCGTCACCAGCTCTGCTCCACCTTGCCAGTCCAAGCCGAGACAGCAATGGCAGCCGCCGCCCCTCTCCGCAGGCTCATCGCCTTGGGACTC